CGGTTGGTGCCGGCCTAGCCGCAGACGTAAAATTTGCACTGCGTGAGGTCTTGCTAACAAGTCGCGCGCCGAAGTGCTTTTAGCCCGAAAGCCCGCGAGGTGTGCGGAATTTTGATACCGGCCGAAAGTGCTGACGCCACGCCCACCGGAGTTACGTGCGTGAGGAGTGACGGGCAGATTACGCAGGTTTATTTGCTCACGTCCCGGCCACCGTACGCGCCAGTTCGAGCTGACGTCGTGCGGTGTTTGTGGTGCCGTGGAGATCAGCACGTGTTCTTGTCCGCCCATGTATCTTGGCACGATTTGTTTCCCCATTAGAATTACCTGTTATCGATGTAACCCAATTATGTGACTAAGTAGTCACACATGTATTGGAATGTAATTGAACAAACTACTTTATAAATAATCCGTTAATAATCATCTTTTGGATTGTTGTTCGTATTTTAAATAAATGATGTCCATCATGATATATATTTCATACCAGTTGTGTGTGGCGCTTTCCGTATTTTCATTTTAATTTTTTTAAAGGTGTGTTAAAATATTTTAATGCGAGAGACTAAAATGTGAGAAGTGGATGTACAGTCATGCTATAAATACCTCATCACGTAAAGAAAATGGGCATTCATTTTTCCTAATCAAATCTGCTCTCAAAAATTTTAAACAAATATTAGTAGAATTTGGTAACCATATATTTTATGTGGATTATAAGAGGTTTCTAATTCCGTTACCTTTAACTCGTTCGGTTTTTGCAAATCAAGAGGTGTATTTTCAGGACTATGTTGCAGATAACAACTGTGAGAAAAGTGATGAGATTTTTAAGCTGTATGACATTATTCGATGCGATGCCTTGGAGACTTAGGTTGGTGGATGTGTTGAGACCAAATGTGTATGCGGGAAAAGGTTTTGCAAAAATAACGGATTTTAGGCAGCCAGAGAATGGATGGCTTTTAGTAGGGGTTCGGGTGGATCTGGACTGATCTGTACCAGTACTCTTCTAAGAAGATAGCTTGGCTTTTGGATAGGTTAATTAATATGGAATTATCTACTGGAAGAGGTGAAAATATGTGAGGAATTTTAAAAGCTTGGCTAGGGCGAGTTACAGAGTGGTGAAAGGTCGGGCCAAAAGGAGTGACATTTTAGCGACCTCGTGTGGCGCTTACAAAGCGCGGGGGCGGCTCCATTTCGTCGTGTGTGGGAGTGACTGCCGGATTTGCCATCCCTTCCTGAAGAGCACGAGGAGGCAAGGCGAGGCGGATCTGTACCGCGTGGTGTGAGGAGGAGGGTGCGAGTAGGGGGTCCCTCAAGTATCAAGGCGACGCTTTTTTGGAGGGGCATGTTGGCGGGTAGGGCAAGTGTCAGTCTCTGTTTGCTTCATTCTGCCGAGGATGTTGGTTTCATCACTTCATACGAGATATTTTGAGAGTGAATTTTTTGGTTTCAACATTTGATATTTTTATTTTATTTTATTCCGTCAGTTTTCATTCTACATTTTCTCAAAATATATTTTTCTGGAAAACTTTATAAACTCATGATTACTTCTTGACCTTGATATCTTGATGCATACGAGATTTTTCTTCAATCCGTAACTATTTAAACTACCGGCTATTGATTCGAATAATCTCACCCGATAGTGGATATTCATACGCATTTCCTGCGATCCAGAACTGTCGCAATGTTCCAGTTGTGTGTATCTTGGCTGTGTTTTTTCTATTCTCTGTGGTTTGGAATACCTATGTACTTGAAATCAATGTCAAGTCAGGTCAGGTTGTGAGATTTTTTAACCAAAACGTTTATATTTTGCTCATCCTTTTTCTAGGTATCTTTCTTTGAAGGAGACTGCAATAGTTGATATCTGCTGTCACTTTTTATAAAGTTACCAAGGTACTGAATTGTCCTTCCTTTTACAAAAGTAAAAATTTCCTTACTTTTATACTCCAGAACACAACATTTGTGATATAATTTACCCATGGAACCCTCTAATTCTTGTGAGAAAAGATCTGAAAGGAATTCGGCTATTCTTTTTCAGTTATTAAATATATTTTTAAGATAATTGTTTTATGATGTAGGTCTCGAGTGTCTTAATAAATAAATTATTATGAAGGATTTAGTGTTAAGAATAAAAAAGTTAACTGGTGTAAATCATGATGTCAAATGAAATATTTCTATCAGTAATTCAATAGAATCCAAGTTTCTGAGATTATCGAACTTTCCTCGGTAATTTTAGAATTTAAAACACCTTGAAATTTTTAAATTTGATATTATTTAATTGAACTACAATGTAATGTGAGGTTTCTTCGTATATCTAATTCAAAAAGTCTACCGCAAACACGAAAGGCACTAGTATCCTGTCTGCATACACACATTTACGAATAGCATCCTCCAAACAGAATAATAGTAAATAAACCGTAAGTCTAAACCTTAATATCGCTGTTTGTGCGATCTGCGACGAAAGGTCAAACGACAACACGGAAGCCGGCGAGCGCTGACCCCAGGCCACAGCGCCGGCCGACGTCTCCAGGGAGGCCGAATTAAAAGCAAGGAAATTGCCGAAAACGGTCGTTTATATGCGCGAGGCGTCGAGGCGGCGAGGAGCAGAACCTCGGCGACGACGGGGGCGGTAACGGTGGCTGGGCGGGAATGGGAGTGGAATAGGAGGAGGCGGAAGCGGAAACGTGGACGGGGTGGGGTGAGTCGAGGGAGAGGCGGTGGCAGGGAGCAGGGGAGGACGGTGAGAACAGAGCCGAAGGCGATGGGGGTGGGGACGGGCAGGAGCTGCTTCTGAGCGGTAGCAGTGATGGCGATGGTGGGATGGAGCTGGTGGGGGTGGGAAGGGAAGAAGGTAGTCGACGTAGCGGTGTGGTTGGGGCGGGGGCGGAGCCCGCGGCAGCGGGAGGGGGTCCTTGACTAACTGCTGGCTTATTCAAAGAAGGCGCCTTTTCATCATACGCCCCCTCGCCGCTCCACGGTGGTCTAGCCAGAAACGGATGTTCACTACCCTTGTACACGGTACATTTCCTTTGACAAAAAGATATTATAAACTGACATTACTAATGGTTATTGGAACGACATCGAGAATAAAACAATGTTCATATAGATAAAGTTAGAACTACGTAGAAACGAGGAAGTAGTCGTACAGAATAGCTGAAAATTATGCCCAAAGCATAGTTTTCAGCTCGCAACATCTGCTCTATGAAATCACATATAACTGTTAGTGCTCGTGATACTCTTCACCGTATTAAATTACTTTTATTTGCTCGGGCACAGTGCATTTATCGTTATTTATTAAAATTAATCCACATTTTTACGCAGTTTTAAATAGAATAAAATTTAAGCATCAACAAAAGCTACTCTAGAATTATGACAACGCGTAAAAACATGATCAAAACTGTGTGCGCGTTTTGACATTCTGAAAACTTAATGTTATGATGCCACTAAATTAATGTGTTTGTAGTTACTGTGGTCTAACATAGTCTAGCACAATCTCACATTGACACCAACTGATCCGGCGGCGAGTTTCGAACATACGTCATGAAATTTAATATCTATCCAGAGCTCGAAAAAACGTGAACAGATTGTACTTCTTCGTGCTTCATACATAAATTTAAGTGTTTCGACAGTAAACAAATAAACCAAACAAACAAACAAACAAACAAACAAACAAACAAACAAACAAACAAATAAATAAATAAATAAATAAATAAATAAATAAATAAATAAATAAATAAAATACACTACTTGGTTTGGGCCAAAGTAGATGTTTGGCCCATCGTGCACCGAGTGCTTCCAGGAGGCCAAGGAATGGAGATGAAGGAGCCCCACGAACGATCTGCGGGAAGTGGAGGCTGATTTATACATTAGTTCTTTCTCATTCTCATTCTTGTTACAAATGTTTATTGCCTCGTATTTATTCGTCGTCGTGGGTAAGAGATACTGCGTCATTTGTGTGCTTTCTTTTTCTTTGGGAAGAAGACACAGTACGACCAAACCTTAAGCTTAAAAGATTGGATTATTTAGGAGAATGAAACTTCTTCAATTTTTCGTCGGCTTTCGTTGCCATTACATACAAGTGTGGGTTAGTGATATGATGCGAAAATAAAAAAATATTTTTATGTTCCACTCTTAATATCTAAGATGTTTAGCCGAGATTTTCATTTTCGTCTTAGTTACTTTTTATTACGTATTAATTAGTATATATCTTGCCCCTAAACTCAGACGATTCACGTTTAATTAAAGAAATAATATTAATATTATTTTCATAATTTCATATTTCTAGTATTATCATAATCATCATCACCACATTTATTATTATCACAAAGTGATCAAAAGGTAGAAATTCGGACACATTCAATTCTAGTGTCATGTACACCTCCGCATTTTTTCTGACAGTACTTACGGTTTGCTGTCGCACTGAACATGCAAATTTCTAAAGAATAGTAAAGTGGATTTAAATATTTTCTTCACGCATAGTAACATTAGATAAAACTGAATTTTTATAAAATATAATATTTCAATTGCAATTATATTTTATTTGTTAGTTAATATTCGCAATGAAGGAGGGAAACCCTTCATACTGTCGGTAGTCTTCCTGGTTTTGAATTTCTCTCATGCTAGGGATGATTTTTGAGAGCAGTTCTGAAATACCAAATATCAAACGCAATATGTAGTGTCTTTGACAATCATTAGCTTCACAATTCGTATGTCCCCTTGGGTTGTTCCGACTCCGGAATACACTGTCTTCATCGCTCTTCCCAAAAATGTCTTTCTATGTCTTTCAATTGACGTGAAATTGATCCTCTCTAGACCATTTAAATTTCTGGCATCTTGATAAAATGTTCTAACCAGTTACTGCGGCAGCCTCGGATTACGTCTAGACCATTATGTTAAGTTCGGCAATAATAGACACGGAGAAATTGTTGTCGTGAAACCACGGAGACGCAGTATGTCTAATTGCACCAAAAATCGATGAACGTTAAATATGCATGTGTTCTTAAAATTAGGACATGAATCTGTTAGAAAAAACAACACAGGTAAGAACAAGTAATTTCATTTTTTTAAATTCTTCTATTCATTTTCAGTGTCGGCGTTCAGCTTCTCAATTGATTGTTTAATTGATTCACGGTGGTTTTGGGCGCGTCAACGCCTAGGGTCATTAGATCCGTAAGTATAGTGTATGTTTATTGGATGGGAGGTGGCGGTGATCATGTCCCACTGGATTGCGAGATCCGGTACTAACCTACGTCGGTTTGCGGGAATTTTCCTCATCCTGGTATCTTTTACCAGCGGGGCACCGCCTTCAGCTTCTCGACCTTTGCCTGAATTTACCCTGTCTTTGTCTTCCTTGGCAATGCCACCCTCGACAGGGCACGATGTCTGGAAGTAGGCCCCCTCCTCGTCTTCATCCGCGGTCGGCACCGCTTTGTCACGCATCCTCATGGAATGAATGCATCGCCCGACTTCGCCGGCACCCGCTCACCCGTCAAACGCGGTCGGTCGGTCGGTCGGTCGGTCGGTCGGTCGGTCGG